CATATTCCAAATCCGCTTCCACATGGCATCATGTTTGTATGGCAGCAGACCTCTGGCCAGTGGAAATGTAATGCAATTCATAGGAAATGTTAAATTTTCTAGGAATTACATTAAAAATAAAAGGAAAATTTAAGTTTAATAAATTTTGTTGCGCTGGCCAGTGTGGCTCAGTTGGTTGGAGCATGATCCGGTACACCTAAAGGTTTCTGGATTGATTCCCAGTCAGGGCACATACCCAGGTTGCAGGTTCAATACCTGGTTGACACGTGCAGGAGGCAGCCGATGATTGATATTTCTCTCTCACATCAATGACTCTCTCTTTCCCCCCTCCTCTGTCTAAAAAAAAAAAGAGAGATGGAAGCCACCAAAAATTTATTTTACTAATTATTAAAGTAGCTATATTTCCATAGCAATTGAATCACAAAATAAATATGAACAAGGTCATTTTTGTTTACTTTTCAATCTAGACCCATGTATTGCACAACAGTAAATGCGTTGCCATTTAATAATCTGCCCTGAAAATATGTACATTGCATAAAATGTGCCATTCAAATTGATTAAAGCAACAGATATTGCTCTGACATGGGTAAAGTTTTAGATTAAAAGAGTTATACTAAAAGTGACTATGTTTTATTCTAAAGCATAGACAATGACATAAATATAAGGATGTGGGTGCTAAGTTCCTATGACTTTGATTCAGGTAGGAGGGAGGCCCCAGGTGGGTTGGATGCTCAATGGTGTGGAAGTCAGATAAAATAGTCTCTCTAGACATACTCTAGCATCATGGTCTGGGCAATGGATTTCTTCCCTCTCTAAGCTCCACTATCTTTCTTTTGTATATGTGGGGAAATAAAACAAATTCAGGTTTATTCTTTGGTTGTTTTCTCCCAGGAACAAATTAGATATAACATATAAACTATCTGCTTAACATGGGTGCTTAATAAATCATGTTCCCTTCCTCTTTCATCACACTTCCTTTTCATGTAAAGAAATTAAAGTATGTTCCTTTGGGGGCTGTGTAAGGAGAACCAGAGGTGAGTGGCCAGAAGTATTTCTTAGAAAGGGAGAAGTGAAGGGCACACTGACCCTGGCCTCATAAACAATAGGTACTAGTCCCACTTCTCTCCTTGCACTCCATTGCTTTACAGACAAAGGTCTCAAATTCTGTTGATTTAAGAAGCCAGTCAGATTGCCTAATTGTATGAAGTAAAAAGATATTAAATACAGTGTTTTAAAAACTGTGGCAAACTGGAGCATGCATGCTACACATGAAGATATTCTGGTTTAGATATTTTTAAATATTTGTGGTAGGGAGAGTAAAAACAGACTAAAAATAATAATAATAAAGTGTACCACCATGAGTTTGTCATTTCAGTCAACAAATATCCATGTCACACTCTCAAAATGTGAATGTGTGCTTTAGGGCAGATAATTCAGTATCTTCTTCAATACGAGGTAGTAATAATAACTACGACATAGGATTTTTATGAGGGTAAAATAAATTAATTCTTGTCAGTATTTAAACCCAAGCAAAAACTCAGTTTGTCTCTTATTTTTAGTATGTTCATTCTTCAAATGATCTCTGCTTTAAAGAAAAAACCCTGAGGTATCTAATTACTCTGTTTTTATTGTAACTAATCCAAGTCACTAAATTGGGGAGAAAATAAGGCAACATCAATAACAATTCATTTTTAGGATGTTCTAGGTGACGAAGTATCAGTTGATATAGATTTGACCAAATGGACTTATTGTTTCTCATGCTTGGATGCCATTTGACTGTCCATCTGATATAAGTTCTTAGAAGAAAGCTCTCCTGTGCCTGCACCATGTAAAATGCAGGGTGTATTGGGTGCAGGGGTTTAGCACTGTCACTGCAGCTCTGTTACTTTAAGATTACTCAGTGATTCATTATTGTCATGATGGTAATTATATTTATAGCTATCCTGCTTAAAACTCTTTTAGAACTATACTGTGCAGAATAAATTAATGCAGGATGGAGGAAAACTAAATGTTTCACACAATGGAACTTTCTACAATGATACTTAAGTTATCAAAAAGGAATTGTAGTGGAAAGGGAGCCTTAAAATATTGCTATTTATTTTAATTATAACCAAACAGTATTGCTGAAACTTTCTCCTTGTCTCAGTCTGCATGGTTCCAAAGCACAGATTCTTTGCTAATATAAATACTCCTTGAAGCCATCTAAATACATCAAATCCCATTTTTCCTGATTGACATAGAGTTAAACAAATTGCAGATAAGACAATAACAGTAAAGCATTCCATTGTGAATGAAAGGGCTAACCACAGACAGGGAGAAGATATTTGCAATGCATATCCCAACAAAGAACTCAGTCCGGATGCTAAAAAGAACTGTTAAGATGGAAAAATCAGGGGAAACTCTTGACTGGGCACTTCACTGAATGGATACTCATCTGACCCATAATGAGCATAACAATGCTAATCATTGTTATATAAATGTAAGATTAAACCACAATGAGAAAAAGGGAAAAATAATATTCATGCCTGCTAGTGGCAAAAATTATGATAACATCAAATTCTGTCAGAGATGCAGGAATACTGGAACTTGATATGTTGCTGCTATATGAGGAAAACAATCATTTTGGAAAACTGTTGGCAGTGTCTACTAAAGTAAATACATGCTTATCTGATTACTTAGCAATTACAATATGAGGTAACTATTCGAGAGAAAGCAGCCCATAAGCCACTTCAAGAATGCTCATAACAGCCTGGCCAGTGTGTCTCAGTGGTTGAGCATGGACCTATGAACCAGGAGATAATGGTGATCAAGGCACATGCCTGATCCCCGGTAGAAAGCATGCAGGAGGCAGCTTATCAATGATTCTCTCTCATCATTGATGTTTCTCTATCTCTCTCCTTCTCCCTTATCTCAGAAATCAATAAAAACATATTTCAAAAAATAATGTTCACAACAGGTTTATTGTATTAGCCTAAAACTGGAAATGACCCACAGGTCATGAGGAGTAAGTGGATAGATTGTGGCTTAGTCATCAATGAAATGCAACCTAAAATATGAAAAGGAGAGAAATGCAAACAAATTTTTCTCCTCTTATTTTTTCATATCAAATATTTGTTAGAATTCACAGTTTGAATCAGATAGTGTTTACATGGAAATAAGAGAGAGAGAGAGAGAGAGAGAAAGAGAGAGAGAGAGAGAGAATATGGATTCCTTTCAGCAATAGTGATAATATGAAATTATCTAGCAGTATCATACTCCAGGCACTGCCAGCAGGTGTCCCTGAATGTGCAATGCATCAAAGAGGACTTATTCAGATAGCTAAACACCAGTGTAATTGTTTGTAAAATAAACTTTCAAATATTTTTCTAAAATGAAAAGTGAGAGAACAATTAAGAGAAACATTTGTAGAGCTGAAATGAAAGAACATAGGTGTAAGGAGTCTCTTTATTATTTTTGTTTGAAACTCTTATTTTCTTTGCAATCTGACTTATTTTCCCTTTCCCCAGCAGCATTCTTCTGTGTAATTTTCATATGAAATAAGTACCTTTTAAACAATCAATCCAGTCATTTTAATGACATACCTTTGTTTCTTTTCATTCCATTTTACCATTTATCTTTATGTGGTTTTTGTATAGAGGTATTCTAATACTAAAAAGCACATTTTTTTTTATACACATAACACTTGTTTCTCAAGTTGGTTGCTTGAGAAAGCATTGTAAAAGTTTTGGGTAACTGTTCCCAAGAGGAATAAAACTGAGCTTTGTGAGTACTTTTCTCTACTGATGAAAGGCCAACTTCCTACTTTCCTTTTCATCTTCCTTTCTTCTATCCATTCTTTTCAACTTCTTTCCTTCCTTCCATCCATCCATGCATGCATGTTTATTGAGCACTTACTATGTGCTGAATCTTACTGTAACCCCAACACCCACCATAGCTCTTTAGCACCAGTTAATACTGTCCACAAATTGCCTTGGGATACAGGCCCCAATGCAGTCAACTCTCATTATGAAGTCTTGGATGATGCCACACAAACCAAGTGCCACATGTGACATCTTTCTTTTGTTTGTTGTGCCATGTTCATTTTCTGCTTCTTGCTGCTGATTTTTAAATACTTACAACTCTCCATGAAGCTCCACTATTAGAGACACCTCTCTGCTCTGCTAAACTCACGAGATCTTGTTGAGGATGCATGACCTTCTTTTCCATGGTGGACCCTAATTTTTGTGCCCACTGTATCAGCTGGAATTCTTTTAACCTATGGGATCATAGCAGTTCATTTCATGAAGCAAGACTAGAGAAACCACCATTCCTACTCTTGGAATTCAGAGTTTTGTATAAGTTACTTCCCCAAAGCAGGGAATTCAGATCTCCATTTCTTTTTGCCCTCTTCCCACTTCCTCACTGAGGTTACTTAAGTTTTTATGTGTCTTAAGCAAGATAAAAAATTCAGGCCCTACCCTTTTCTTTTGAGAGCTCATTGGAGAAGACACTTCTGAGAAATGGCATTATGGTAAATTTTAGATGCCCATAGTTTATTCCGTTACATATCTGACTTGCAAGATTAAAGCTGGTCGGTCTCTGTTTGGTTCAGAGAGATGTCATATCTAGACCAGAACCCACAGAATGAAATTAAACATGTAGTTCTTCTAACTTAGAATTCCTGTCCAGAAATAAAACAAGTCAGAAAAAGTGGACTCCGACCTCTCTCCAGTCCAAGGTTTCCAGTGGAAACAGGACAGGCTTTGAAGGAGGGGTTTTCTGACCTAGCCTAGAAACCGACCAAATGTACAAACAGAGATTAGAATTAGAAACTCCTTTATGGAACCCATCTCTGTGATCTCCGTGGTTCTCACTCCGACATGAATGATGTTAAGGGAAAAACATCGAAAAGCTGTTGTCTAGCAGTGGGCCCCGTTTCAGAATTCCTATTGGCAGGTGTGCTTTAGATTGTTCAACACAGTGGAGCACAGAGGCCGTCATGATGTAGCTAATAGGCAATGATGTGGCCTCCTTTCTTCATAAAAAAGGTAAGAGAGACTAAAATTCTCCCACATTTTAGAAGTTCTCATTTTACATAAAGAATAATAAATGCGAAGTGGTAAAAGTTGAGGCTTGTATATATTTCATTAACATGTACTGAATGTATAATATATGCCTGTACCACACTGGGAACTGTGAATATAAAATTCCAACACGGAGATAAAATGAGCCCTGGCGTTGCAGAGACATGTAGATTATTAGAATTTATGTAGGTTTTGGTTCTGAATTTGAATTATGATGTTATGTTATATATATATATAATTTTAGAATATGCTTTCTTCCTGATATGAATAATATCACTCCTAATGCTGGTTTACTCTTTCCATCTCTAGGAGATAGTCAACTTCAACTGTCGGAAACTCGTGGCCACGATGCCTCTGTTTGCTAACGCTGACCCCAATTTTGTGACTGCCATGCTGAGCAAGTTGAGATTCGAGGTGTTTCAACCTGGAGATTATATCATACGAGAAGGAGCTGTGGGTAAAAAAATGTACTTCATTCAGCATGGTGTTGCTGGAGTCATCACAAAGTCCAGTAAAGAAATGAAGCTGACCGACGGCTCGTACTTCGGAGGTTAGTACCAAAGAAACACAGCTGAGATGACATGAAGTTGCTTTAGTACGTGTCTTCGTTAGAATCCTGGAGGTGTCAGAATGTTGATTTGTTGGTTTTGAATATAAATTCTCATTGGAATTCTGATTTTAAAAAGTGTCTATAATGGCATGTTTTTCACTCATCAGGCCTTGTCAAGCTTAATGTTTAAACATTCCTCAGCACCAAAAACTGGAATGTTTTCTTTAGAAAATGGCAAGAAGTCTGCGTTCCAGTATCTGCAGATTTATCCTGTAGGAGAGAATTCAAGTGAAACTCTTTTTTCTTCTCATCAGTGAGGTGCTCCATAAGTGCTCCTTATTAAGTGGTCCTTGTTACTTTCTGTTCATCCTTCATAGACTTTATCATCTTCTACCCCTTATGAAGGCTTCTCCATCAGAATCAATGTGTCCCAGCTCTGTGTTTCCATAGCACTTTTCATAGCTTTCCAGAGTCCTAGTCAAGTCCACCTCATGCTGAAATTAACAGGTAGTTACCTGTCTTCCTTCAGGTATTAGATGGCAAGTGTGGCATCAGAGAAGCCATTTAAAAGTCAAAGATGCTCAGGCCCCAAATGTCAGAGATTCTGATTCAGGAAGTCTAGACTGGAGACACACTTTTATTTGTTTGTTTATTAGAGAGTAACCAACCAGTTCTCAGAGGGGAGGGCTGGATGAAAGAAGGTGAAGTGATTAGCCAAGGAACATAAGTGCATAACCCATGGACATAGACAACAGTGAGGTGATGGCCAGAGGAAAGGGTGTGGGGGCTGGGTGAAGGTGAGCAAAGGGGGGTAAGTGGGGAGCATCTATAATAGTGTCAACAATAAAAAAATCCATAGTTATAAAGAGAAATTATTCAAATCAAATTAATAGGAGTTGAGAACCAGTCAATCAACTATATTTTATATGACTAGAGGCCCGGTGCACAAATTTGTGCATGGGTGGGGTCCAGCCAGGGGGAGGGGCCACAGGGGGTTGGCGGGCCAGCCCTGCCCCCTGGTCGAACTCCCAGTTGAAATCCCAGTTGAGGGGACAATTTGCATATTAACCTTTTATTATATAGGATAATAATAATAATCTGAGATTAAGATGTTTTCTCCAATAACAGCTAAGAAATAATTATTAGAAAAGGTTTATAATTGTTTTAAATGCTTTTGTGGAATTTATCAAAATAACCATAAAGTTCTTATTCATCAATATATTGCTGAGTAAAACATACAACTCAAAAAATTAGCTTCTTTGACTTCTGCTCAGCCATTAAGGACAATTTTGAAGTTTCCGTCTTCCCCTGTCATCCCACTCTTCTTCCTTCTTGTGAGTCTGTGTTGCCTCATCAGCCCTTTAGCCTTTTGTAAAGATTGTGCTAAGACAAAGGAGAAGATTAGGAGAATCTAAGAATCTAAAGGGGCCTTTCATGTTTGAATGAAGGAAAAAGAGAGAGCAATTGAAAGATGTGGACTAAGAAATAAAAGTATAGCCTCTGAGCCTGGTTTGGCAGAAGATGGTGTGGAGGTAAAACGTTTTTGAGGCAATAAAAGGAGGGGTTTAGTTTAAATATGTCATAGAAAAGTTCAAAAATAAGTTTCTGGAAGTTTTATTATACATTTAGAATGCATTTCTACATTTGATACTAGTATACATTTTGTGCATTCAAAGGCGCTTTTAATTACTAATACAGTTATGTGTGCTAATGTGAGTAAGGTTGCATACACAGCTAGGACATTTGCCTCCCTGGATTTATGTGGGTGAAACTGTTAGTAAAATCAACTAAATTGTCCTTGTGCCTATAAGATCATTTTGGGGATAAAAACTACTTTGTTTTATGGCATTATTTCTTCAACACATTGTAGCATATCTATCTACAAGTGAGGCTGGTCTGTAATTTTGTGGTTATGTTGTTCACTTTGTGACGCCTAGATGACTTTGGGTATCTCAGGTTTTCCTCATTTCTAAAAAGAGTAAGAAAACTTTTCTAAACAATGTATTCTCTGTTTCAAGGCAGTTTAAGCAATCTCTCTTTATACACACAATTGATATTTATTTGATTTAAACACCAAAGAAGATAATGAAAGGCAGTTAGAATCTAAGAATAATAAATTGTACGTAGCATGTTGGGGTTTAGAATTCATAACTCTTTCAGAACCTAATATGAGACATTGAAATTAACAGAATGGACCTTTGTACCACACTCATTTTATATTCGTGTAAACAGAGCATGACCAGTTCACAGGGCAGTTCAGCAGAAAAGCCACGGATCAGCTGAGCAATGCTCTTCCCACTTGGCTAAAATGCCCGGATTAAACAAACATAATTAGTGCACAAAACACACTGTCCCGAGTGGTGAGATAAGGGGACTTATTCAAAGAAAGGTCAGATTCAGAGTTTTGTATTTTGTGCCTAACCTGACTTATTTCTACAATAATACAGAACAGTAATTCTAGATTAATACTGTTTTATAACTCGGGCAGGTTTTTGTGGTTGTTTTCGATCTCTCTGTGCTGAGGTGGAGGAGGGAGCGTGGTAGGTCAGCGCATGCGCAGTGGCAGTCACTGTTCCCCAGTTCAGTTCTAGGGGAGGGAGCGCAGGAAAAGGAGCAGGCAGTGTGTCTACTGTGTGTTAGGAACGTGCCTAAGGCCCTGGGGAGACAGCATTGAGCGAAATCGACAGGATTTCCCAGTGTGGAGCTTATATTTTTAGTAGGTACTTTGATTTTAGAAAGAGGAATTTAATAAATCAACGTAGAAATGACTGGAATATAAGCCACGTTATCAGGTGGTGATAAGTGCTTCAGGGAAAATTAATGTGGGGGAGAAGGATAAGGAATGCCCCCTCCCCACAGGGTCCTATGGAGAGCCGAGTTCAGGCACGTGGGAGCCCCAGGCTCCCTACTGAGAGCGATGGTGACTGAGCATCCAGTGTCTGCTGAGACTGGTCCTCCTGGCTCCGGTCAGGTGATAGAGACACAGTGAGTTTGGGAGCTAAGGGAGGCTCTTGCTTGTAAGAAAGATTTCCTGGACTCCTTCTTGATTTCTCCTGTGAAGAAAATTTTATTTATTTATTTATTTATTTATAAATATATTTGTATTGATTTCAGAGAGGGAGAGAGATAGAAACATCAGTGATGAGAGTCATTGATTGGCCGCCTCCTGCACACCCCCAACTGGGGATCAAGCCCGAAACCCGGGCATGTGCCCTGACCGGGAATTAAACCATGACCTCCTGGTTCATAGGTCAGTGCTCAACTAGTGAGCCACTCTGGCTCGGCTTTATTGATTTTTTAATCCTCACCTGAAGATGTTTTTTCCATTGATTTCTAGAGAGAGTGGAAGGGGGGGTGGGGCATCAACATGAGAGAGTCTCATCAATTAGTTGCCTCCTGCATGTGCAACCCCGGTATGTATGTGCCCTTGAGCAGGAATGGAACCCGTGACCCTTTGGTCTAACCTCTGTGCAACCAGCCAGGGCAAAGAAAATTTTATAGTTCTCTTTTTACGTATGAGGAAAATGAGCCTCAGAGAAGTTAGACCACCTGGCCAGGGCCATTGAGCTGAAAAGGGACAAAGCCAAGTTTCAAACTCAGCTGTGAATCTGAACCCACAGTCTGTGTTTTGTCCACTGTTCTCACTGCTTTCCAAGAGAGGCGTGGTGATCTTCTAGGGTGTAAATGTTGAACTGTTTTATAGTCTACTAGAAGCCCGGTGCATGAATTCATGCACAAGTAGGGTTCCTAGGCCTGGCCAGCAGTCAGGGCGGATCGGGGCCTTCTGGCTGCCAGCTGGGGCCTTCTTTCATTCTGCACCAACCCCTGGTGGTTAGCGCATGCCATAGTGAGCAGTCGAACTCCTGGTCTCCTGGTTGAACTCTATAAGGGACACTTTGCATATTAGCATTTTATATATATATAGATAGATTCTTCTGATATCCTGACCCTCCTATTAATCATATGATCAATATATTATCCACTAAGAAAAAGTTCCATTAATATACCTCATTAAAATTTCAATTTTTTTTATTCAATAGTTTATAATTTTAAAGAAAAGCTTCTGTTTCCTAGTGGAAGGTATTTTATTGTTAGTATCTCATCTACTCACCTCGTAAGGGCCATTTTTCTTTCCACACAAAAGTGTTCTAATTAATTCCATCTCTTAATTGTCCTGTCAAAATACGTTTTTCTGAAGGTGTGGCCATGTGAATAAGCCTACCAGCAGGAGCCCACTTCCAGTGTCGGTTGCTGTGATAAATTATTTGGCATTAAACGCTGCTTAACTGTGTCTAATGTTTTGCCAGCCTCCAGGAGACCGCCAATTTCTTTATATGCCTAATGTGCATATTTAGGATTTTTATGTCCATATGCATGTGACCAGATAAGGATCATGTGGCATTTAAAGTTGACAGCCTCCTATTGAACAACCAGACAGGCAACCCCTCCCCGGAGGCTGTGCATGGTTTGTAGGAGAACAAGGATCTGCTGATCTCTACCTGACAGTTCACTGTGCCTCTCGTGCGTTTCTAAAAGCTGACGCTGATTTTCTAGAAGGTGTGAGGAATCCGTGGATGGTAAATTCACAACTTGATTAGCCCAATACTCCTATTATATGTAGGAGAAAGGGGAGGCAGCAGCAGAGAATAACAATGAGTCTCAGAGATTTTTCTTTCTGGTCCTCATTTGTTCTGCCCTTAGGCCAGGCTCATGAAATATTTGCTTCAATACTGTCGAGTCAACTCTGACAGATCTTTGTGCGGGTGTTAGCCCACCTAGAAATACCAGGTAACGTACAACCACTAGGTTAGCTAGGTTATTGGGTGGGAGAGATGTTAGTTCCCATCTGTATCCTCACTCACGGCTCTAGGATTCTACAAAGTCATGTATAAATGCATCCGTGTAGAACAGAGGAGTAAATTCAAATGTCTGTGACACTTATGAAGATCAGAGGGAGCATGAAGAAAACATTTGATCAGGCTGGCTGGTGTGGCTTGTGG